AGGCAGGACCCTCGCTGTGGGCTGGAAGTGATTCTGGAGCTACCGCCAGCCTCCAGGGTTCATGTCCTGACCACCCTAGGCATTGCCTCCCGGACTGAGGTCTGGACCCTGCGGGATCTCCGTCAGTCTTGGAGAGCATGTCCTCGTCCCCTGGTCCCCAAATGCAAAGTACCAGGCCTTCTGAACTAAACTGAGATCTGGGCTCTTCTGTGATCCTGTTAGTGGTAAGCCCAAGCAGAACATGATCATTTCACAGAATTAGAGAGTGATTTAGTTCTGATTTTGGAAGAACAGTTTTTAAAAATGGATTTGTATGCATAACATCCATTGCAGTTGGTGGTGGTGGAGTCAGTGACTAATAAAAATGTCATTTCCTGTGATTTTTATAAATTACAGTAAATATGCCAGTAATCACCCACATTAGCGGCTGAAATGCAGGCAGCCATCTGGAGTAGGGGCCAGGGGGCCTCACTGAAGCCTCAAGAGGTAGACGCCACAGGTGCAAATTGACACCTAGGAAAACAGTAGTTAACACATGCTAGAATTTGGAGAAGGGGAAAGTGTTAAAATAAATGTATGTCAAGCAGACAAATTTGGACTTCCCCACGAGGATCTGTCACGTCAAACAGGAAATAGCTATAAATTACTCGTAATAGTAAAAATCTTGTCATTTATAACGTTTAAAGCAATGGGCTCATTTAACACATCAACTCATAGATCATAATCTAGGACAGTCAGCCTGGTGTTTATTTCACTTTGAATGTGTAGGAGCCGGAGCAAACCGTGTATGATCCGTGCACAAACCCTCACAGTGTCCTGCCCGCTCTTGGAGCCATGGAATGAGCCAGAGAAAACTGCCTTGGGCCCAGGGTGATGAATGTGTCAAGGTACGAAACCCTTTCTGCTCCTAAAAAGAAAATTAAGACATGATTGGAAATGTCATGCCTTGGGTATTCTCCTAATGAATAATTCCAAATAAATCCCACCATTATTCCATTTGTTTGTTTTACTTAGAAGCTATTTGAAGTCATTGGAGCTGCGAGTATGTTTCAACGCACCAAGCGTATTTACTGTATCTTGTGATCATCTTGCTAAATGGTTCACAGGAAACAATAATTGGAGTTCTATGTTTATTTCAGATGCTTCAGTGTATACTGCCCACAGATAAGAAATTCAGCTCAAAGAGCTGTTGAAAGGGGCTGAAACACAGTCACTGAAGTGGTCCTGGCATGCAGCTCAGGAAGATGGACACACACAGCCATCTTCTGCATTATTTGAAGGTTCGACGGAAACTAGGTATGACAGAGATGCCGAATGAAGTTTGCATGCACTGAATAAATATTTGAGGTTAGTTGATACAGGGTGGGGCACAGGTTCTAGAGAGAAGGAGTAAGAGTGAAGAACACAGCCACATACCAAACTGACCACTCACCTTATAGTGAGAAAAAGCCTCAAGGGTGGGAGTTGAACCTATAGCTCACATTTACACAGATGTTGGCTTTACGAGCTATAAGGAAGGACAAAGTTGGTCTCCAGAAAAACACTGACTCAGAGTTGCTGTGCGTCCAGCTGCCTTCAATCTTCTCCCTGGTGTCTCCACGGCTCCATGCTTTCTACCCTGCCAGGGGCTCCATCAGGGTTCAACCCTTCCTAGAACAGGAAGTGCCCTGCTGCTGCGACTTGCTGCAATTAGGACACCTCTCATGTATGTGTAGGCGTGCGTGTGTGCACAGGCACACATGCATACACATGTTCATGCGTGCACGGGCACACATGTTGCATAGCCTGGATGGCATGGCCATAATAGCAGCCGTGTGTAGAATCCCTGGGTCTATTGTCTGGGTTGCTTTTCCTCTTTTCTGTTTTTCCATATTCTGCCAACATATGCTTCTGGTCAGGTGAAAACTTGCCTCTGTCCACAAGTATGAACACAAGCTAATTGTAATTAAAAAACACTGATTTAATCCTAAAAAGTTAGGATTTAGAAGTTAGCTTCAATTGGTAAGCAGTTTAACTAGTCCCTTGCATTTAGCTGGTTGCTTTAAAAACAACTGTTGATCTCTCTGAACTTAATCCCGTTTTCATAGTAATGAATAGCGTCCATAGATTGATTAGCGCTCGTCTGTGAGGGAAGGAGACGGCTTGGCTGAGAAGACGTGTGTATGGGAGGAGTAGAGGCGCTATTCAGAGCACGTAGGGGGATCTAACACGGGGAGAAAGCGGATTCTGCAGCCAGGTCAGCCAAGCCGGCCAGCTCCGGTCTGGAGTCCCAAGACCAAACCCAGCAAAAGCAAGCTCCAGTTATTTTCTCCCCCTGGGCACTGACATGTGTGCGCGTGACACAACATGCTAACTTTTTGGAATCTGCTTGCATGAAATCAGCTGAAGAATTGGGGCTCTTTCTCTAGCCTTGGTTTTTTCTAGAAATGCCAGCAACCTACATCGTTAGCCCTAATTGCTACATTATTACTGATCAAAGACCATGTGCTTTGCTTTTTTTTTTTTTTTGTGAATTGAATGAATAATTGTCTCAAATCTACATTTTTAAACTTCTGTGTAGATTTAAAAGTTAGGTGCAACTATAGAGTATGTGTAGCATGTGGGACTGCATATTAATTTAACACATCTGTTAATTTTGTAGCAAAGTTTATTTCTACAGAATAATGGGTAATTCTGAAAATGTTTTGGGCAAAATGTTACAAACTCATTATTCAACTAACACAACTGTACATACTGTATTCCCTTGATTCTGAGACACACACTTTTAGTTTTATCATCTCTGGAATCTAAATGCACCATTATGGTCAATAACAATTTACAATTACAGCTGGCAGGATTTTTTTCATTCATCCTGATATATAGAATAAAGATGCATTGTATAATAAATGGCATCTTAGTTTTGTTAGAAGGAAGAAATGCATGTGTGGGGCAGTTACCTATAGAGGATTTCTTGTCCATATGGTCTAGGGTGAAGAAAAATTGTGTTGAACATCAATTGTGTTGATCATCCCTAATACTTCTTTAAGTGGGATTGTAAATTATGTCCACAGACTTCAACATGGCTCTTTTTATTCTAAAAAGCCTTGTATTTATAGTGAGCAGTTCACACGGACTGCAACGTGTATGTGACAGAGGGTTCCCATTGCCTTGTCCATCACTAACTGAAAAAGTTACAATGAAAACTCTAGGAGACTCTCAAAGGATGAAGCAAGGAGATCGGTTCCCCAGTTGGTACCCAAGCTGATGATGAGTCAGAAAAAAAAAATCGACACAACTGAATGGGATTTAATTCACAATTTCAATTTCAAGATGAGCACATACGTGTGCAGCCGGGCACTGAGCTACACTTGTGCCCATTTTCTGTAAACTGTACAGGAAAGTTACTGTAATGCAGAAAAGTCCCTACCACTGAGCCCTCAACCATGCCACACGGTATTTCCAGTCTGAATCCTTCCTATGTCGTCCCTTGGAGCCAGAAGTGGTGGAGAGGCTGGGGAGCAATTTTAAGTTCTAAGTCAGTTTGTGGTGGTGCAAGTATAGTAGAGAGAAGGGAAGGAAAGCGTTCAGATTTTTACAATTTGAAATGTAAGGATTCCAGACTGGAAAAAGATAAATAGACATATGGGCTCTATGCTCAAACACAAGCTTCTCACCACAAGCTTGCTGGCCTGTGGAGGGCACCCCGACACGTGCACACATACATGGAGGGAGTATCTAGATTCACTGTTTTTCTGGCAGAGATGTCACTTAATGGCCAAGGTGGACGTTGCTTCGCTTTCAGCCCTCTGCTCTTTACCTCATCTCCTCCTTCCCAGGAGCATTACCTCACCATCCAGTATGTACAATTTAAAGGGAATTCCCTGTGACTTCAGTTATTTGTCCCTTATCGACTGATGTTACACTACAAGGATCTGCATGCAAAGGACACAAAGAAAGAGCAAGCCATGGCACATGGCCAAATAAAAGAGTGATGTTCTGGTGAATTTAGCCTAAATAATTTACTGCAGTATAAAAGTGGAAAAGTGGAAGGTGAACCCTTTGACCAATAAATCTCTCCTGCCCGTGAAACCCTTATCTGGTCGCCTCCAACATATTCCAACGAGGAAGCCATCATCACTGGCTCTGGTTTGTTATTTGTAAACCTTGATCTTCTGCACTCGGTGTCCTAAATATGGATAATTAGCATCAGTTTATCATGCTTCTGCATATTTCCTCTCCTCTCCAAACATGCTTGCTTCCATTGGCTGCCAGGCTGCTACAGAAGATTATGGAGACAGATTGCAGAGAATGAATGTGCTAAACGAGATTAGGAAGGAATAGAAATAGCAACTTGGCCAATAAATTCCTCGTGAGAGCCTTATCATACAATTACACGTTGACTTGTTCCACACTCTCCCAGCCTCTTAATCCAACACCCCCACCACGAGTTCGCTAATTTCTGAATTACTGCATATCCTCCTGACTTGTTACTGAGAATGGTTAGAAGGAGAGACACTGCTGAAAACAACACATGAAACTTTATACCAAAAAAAAAAAAGAGACTTTAAATGTCAAAATGGGCAGTATGGTTTGGGGGTGCTTAAAGCATTTTCGCATCTATGAATGAATGACAAAGCCTTGGGATAGGGAGATGCCTAACTTCTCTTTGAGCACCAACTTCTCTCCTCGTGCTGCTCTTGGGGGCTCAGCCTGGACAAAGGGGAGGGTCACCTCACACTTTAGAAGAACTCCCTGCTGTGCTGGGGGTGGGCCAGGCACCACTTGATTTCTCCTTACTGACTGCCGTCATGGTGCCCTTGAGCACTGCCGACGCCTCACCTGACCTCTGGGTGAGCTGTTCCATGCATTTGAGCTTCTTGCACGTGCACTTGGGCTCCAAGGAGAGAGTTCTTGACCACTCTGGGCTCACAGGACTGCAACCGGACCGCTGTGATGGGGCACCCCAGGGGGAGAGCTCCCCTCTCCTCTGCTGTCAGTGTTAACTTCCCAGGGCTTTATTAGGCATTTAAAGAGGCCCGTGAAGCCTCTGCATTCACCAGGGTACTATTTATGGCGCAGAGCAGCAGTCGGGCACCGCTGCTCCTACAGAGCAGGCGCTGGAAGGAGGGGATCCAGGCAGCACTGTAAGGACTCCGTACCTGTGCTTCCAGCTCCTGGTGAAAATCACTTAGCTAAAGAAAGCCACAGTACTTGTAAAGAGAGCTTTCACGTATAGCTCATGATTGCGCCTTCACTTTTCTCTAAGTGACATCTGTTAGGATCGCTGGAGAGGGCCCGATGGACAACCCGGAGAAAAGGCTCCATATTTCAGAAGGCCTGCTTCCAGGCCCTGAGCTGGGAGGCACACCAGACAATACTCATTCAGTGAATCTGCACTGCGTGTCTGCTGTGTGCCAGGCACGGTTCTAGACAGTTGGTGTGGCCGTGCAGAAAGCCAGCCCAGCTGAGCTGACAGTTGGGGTCCGGTGTGTCTTGATGCTGATGAGAACAGGGATGCCTTTTGCAAGTGGGCTGATCACTGGCCACCAAGAATTTCCTTCCCTTGTGCTACCTTGATAGGGAGGGAGGGAACAAGGGCCCAGGGGGAAGCCCAGAGGCACCTGTCTGAGGGGCCCAGGCTCTTGGTAGGAAGTAGTGGTACAGACAGTGCCTGCCATCCCAGAGCTGGCCCCGTGGACCATGCCATGAGTGGCGGCCACAGCTCCACCACGGCCTGCACCGGAGTCCTGGGGTCAAGGGTCTGGGAAAAGGACACAACTTAGGTGTCACTGAAGGTCTGCTCCTCCCCTCCAAGGCCACTGAAACCCACTGTCCCCTGTGTTGGGGGACACAGGTCCTGGAATGTGGCCAGGGAACTCAGAGAAGGCATAGGCCTGGTGGGCCATTTTCCTTTCTGAGAAGAGATGTTTTGGACACTTCATGGTGTTAATATGGGGACTGACAGGTTTGGCCTCATGCAAGTCCTCTACTCAAGCAAGGTGTGGTTGAGACCAAAACAGTTGCCCAGGCCGCGGGCTCACAGAGGACTGGGGACCTGAGCTCAACCCGAGCTGAGGAGCTTCCACAAAGTGTGAAGTCAGGTGAGGAGTTATTAATAACCGCCCTCCCCTCCCCTGCGTCATATTTCCTGAATCTCTGAGCAAAGTTGGGGGGGGCAGCGAGGGGGAGCCGTTTGCATTAATCTGGGAACAAACGGCCAACCTCGGTGACTGGTATTTTCGCTTTTCTTCTCTCACTTTTCTCAGTGCGGGGAAGCCGCGGAGCCGCGCGGGGTGATTGTGAGGGACTCTGCTGGAATTTGGCAGCGCGGACGCTTGGAGAGCAGCCCCATGCTGGCTCCTATTCAGCAGGCCGGTTCTCCTCGAGCTTTGGAAGTTTCACTCAGCCGTGCACTCAATGGCTTCACAAAGCTGATTACAAGCTTCAGCGCATTCCTGAAGGAGCCAAAAGCGACGCAGGTGCAAACGAGCCGAGGGAGCCCCTTATCCCGGTGACAGAATGGGACAAGCTGGGAAAGGCCCGGACCACACAAATCCAAGCTCACCAGGCAGCAGAAAGCCTGCCTTGGGAACCAGGGGTCATTATCTGCCCTATTCAGCGGGGCCCAGGGACCCTGGGGGCCCTGGAGGCCAGCGCGCTGTGGCGGTGGGGACCCCGCCGGGCCCTGCGGCAGGGCTGGGGCGCTGGACGGCCGACTGCACGATTGCGCGTTTGCACCAACAGCGTCAGTGAAATCCGTGCTCACGCGGCTCTTGTCAACACCAGTTGAGGACAGGGGAGCGCGCGCGGGAGGCACCCAGGGGCGCGGACAGTGCGCCTTTGTGTGTCCAGGGTCCAGACCGCACTGCCCGGCCCCTGCCCCGGCCGCGCTGCGGGTCCCCCGTGTCCCTCAGGCCGCAGACACCTGGCTCCGAGGGTCCCTTTGCGCCCTCTCTGCCCACTGCCCACCTTGCCCATCTGTCCTCGTGGTGACGGGATCGAGCGCCCCCGACGCTGGGCCGTGGGAGTGACCGTGACCCCGCGGGGAGTGGGGGGCGGCGGGTCACGAGGCTGCCCCGTCGAGGCGCGCTCCGCGTGCCCAGGACCTTCTCCGCGACTCCGATTCCCGCGCTGGGAGGCGGCCCGGCCGCTGCGGGACCGGGAACCCGGCGCGGCGCACGCGGGGGGCGCCGGAGGGGCTGGCGCGCGGTGTCCCTGCGTGGGGCCGGGCCCTCCCCGCGCCCTCCCGCCCCGGCCCCGCCGGCGGGGGCCCTTTGCGCCCCGGGACCCCGCGGGCAGGGAGCGGGCGGGCGGGCAGGGCGCGCGCGCCGGCGCTCTTTTGTCTGATAACTAATTTGAGTTAATGCGATCTTTATGTAAAGCTAACAGCGGATAATTGTCTATTTTCTCGCCAACAATCTCCATCACAATCACTTATCTGGAAACCTGCGGCTGGATTAATCGTTATGTTCCCGAGATGAGCGTCGCTGGGGTCCGGGTGGGGACCTGGACGCGCCGCCAGCTCCTGCCGCGGCCCGGGTGCGGGGCGCCCTTTCCAGGACCGGCTCTGAGCGGGTGGGTGGTGCGGGGGCAGCAGGGGAGGGCGGAGGGGCGGCGCGGGGGGGCGCGGCCCCCGAGGAGCTGTCAGGGCCAGAATCAAGTCTTTTGACCTGGGAGGAAGGGTCCCCTCCACGCGCATCTTTTCTGCAGGAAAGGTCCGTCCTCCTTTCGGTTGGGTTCCACTGGCTTCATCCCCGCCCCAGGCTTGGATCCCTCCCCCAAGGCTCCACCCTCCAGGGTCCCCATCTCTGCAAATTATTGGCAATATTTACGCTCTGAGAGACTGAAATCCCCCAGAGGCAGAAGGAGCCTTGGGCGTGGAAAGGCGCCCCCGCCCCGTAGTGCCCACGGCGCCCCCGTGTCAGGGCTGAGACGCGAAGGCCGCTGGCATGGAGGCCTCTGGGGTAAAGGCACTCGTGTGAGAGGGACGGCGTCGTGCTGCGCTGCAGTCCAAGCGTCGAACCCGTGTCAAATGGAACCCGTGCGGCGGCGGTGGAGGCGCTCGGAGCCCCTGTGTGCGCGCAGTAAGGTGCGGACGCTGGCCTCTGGGGCTGAGCGCTGCTGGGCGGCCGGGCGGCACGGAAGCACCCTGACTCTCTGCTCCTGCAGCTCAGGAGGCTTGCCAACCTGGGGACCCCAGCGCCACTTTTCAAAATGGTGTTTCTGGAAAGTGCAAATTCAGTCTCAGTTCGTGACAGTTTTTGGCCTTGTAGAATGAAGCTTTCTTTTCCCTTTTGGCAGCAAAATTCTTTTAACTTATAGGAGTGAAAGAATACAGTGTAATAAAATGTCATAAAACTATGGGATTTTTAGATAAAAGAGGGCCCCAAATTAGGGCACTTGTACATTCCTGTTAAGATCCTCCAGCCTTCCCTGTCCCCCCGGCCTCTTGATGAGGACTCTCAGAATGGACAAGTGAATGCGACCAACCGTCCGGGAGCCCGGCCCTGGCCGCGTTTCCCAGGCCGCTCTTTGTTGTGGCCCTCGGTCGCCGGCCTCCCCTCTCACCTGGATCTTGTCATCTCGGCCATCTTGAAGTGATCTGGGAACAATGCTGGTCCCTGTGCCAGACCCGCTGGTCAATCAGGCAGAACAGACTATGCAAATGCCCGGGGAGGCCGAGCGGGGGAACACAGGCCCCATTGTCTTGGGCATTTCAAAGCGCCCAGCAGCTGCACAGACTTGTCGCCTCGGACCCTCGGTTGCCACACTAATGTCATCATTGCAAAACATCAGATTTTGAGAACTATACAATCCAGATTCATTAGCTGCCTTCTCGGTAGAGGTTTCTCTTTTCCGTGACATGTTTCAAACCCCAGACCCCCCTGTTGAGGGCGGGGGGTTGCAAGTGACAGCCGCTGATGACCCATGGCTTCCTCTTTCTAGTGAATTCACACACTTTAAAGCCCTTCCTTGGGGTTCTGAGTTTAAATGTCTGGCTCAAGGGCCTGGGATTTTGAGGTTTCCATGTTTTGTCTTGTGTAGCTTCCAAGCTTAAATTCAGGGACAAGTGGAGTGAGTTTGGCAAAAAACACAATCTTCTGCTTTCATGATAACCAACGTCTCAAGAGTTTTTGAAGCTTTTCCTTTAGATTGAACTCAATACATATTAAAACAATATGATTCCTAAAACATGAGTGTGTGTAAAGCAATATGCTTCCTAAAACAAGCCGGTTACACACGATAACACTCCTGGCGGCACTGCAGCAAACCCACAGGACACGCGTCTAGGCAGTTTATGTAATTGTTCCACTGCCCTTGCTGAGATCTCCCTCTCACCCCCACCTCCCAGACCTGTCTTTCTTTTTTCCTACAACCACGTCAGCCAGAGGGATGCGCTAGTCCCCAGGGATGGGTGCTGAGTGCCAGGGCGCAGGGGCAGGCTGTGCTGGGTCCTCCGACCAGCACCTGCCGGCACTGGAACCTCATGGCCCACAGGGCACTGTCGGGCCCAAGGCAAGCAGAAGCCTCGGGGTGCCAGCGAGGCAGCTTCCCTCTCGTAATGAGCCTGCTCTCCAGCCTGCAGTCTGTGTTCATGTGACCTTCTGTTTCTTCACAGGGCTCTGTGTACTGTCCTCTCCCTACTTTACTCACGGGCTGGAATTTTTCCCAGAAAAAGGCAGTCGACTCGGAGAAAGTCACCAGACCAGTGACTAGCCTGGAGCCGAGAAGATCTGCCCAGGGCGCTGAGGCTCCACCGTCCACCCCAGGCCTCTCTGGTGCACCCTCAGACCTCTGGTGCTCCCCGCAGCCCCTGAGGTGCCTTGTAAGGAGGACAAGGAGGACAAGGAAATAAATGGAGAAGAGGCCCCATGGGTGTGACTTGTTGGCTGGTAGTGGGTGTGAAGTGGAGGCCCCAGGGGCAGCTCAGGGAAGAGCCATAGATAGGTTCTTTGCAAATAGGGACACCTTTAGGGGACTTGAATCCGAACACACCTGTATCTTCCTGGAAGTGTATGATATGGGCCTGGACCCTGCAGTTGCTTCCAAGTCTGCATGCCTGAGGCTCTCCAGCACCTTCCCGGTGCCCCGGCTGGGCCCGGCGCCCTGTGCCAGCAAGGCCAGCCAGGCTGGGGCTGGGGCTGGGGCTGAAGCCCAAGGTGAGCCGTCCAGAGACCTGGCTATGGCACGGAGGTGGGGTTTCTGCTGGATCAGAGCTCCAGTGTCTCCCCAGGGTATAGACGGTGTCTGGCTCACTGTGGGCGTCCAAATGTGTTCGCCAAAGTACTTGAGAGGCCCTTGCCACAGGGAGAGCTTCAGCATCGGGCTCCGGGCGGCCCCTGGGTCGGCTCGTGCCCTGGGAGTTGGTGAGCATGGTCCTGCCCTTGCCTCCCTCCCCTTCTCACACGAGCTGCACACATTCTTACACACTCATGCACCCACACACTCAAATAACCAGAATCTCTCCCCCCGACACACACACACGTGCTCGTATGCATGCTCTGTTCCCCAGGATTTTGCAGTATTTGGCTGAATACTGGGGTGGTGTGTGGCCGAGCACCCGACCTCTCACGGGAGGTGCCATTATATCCTGGGAAAAACACCATTAGGTGCACACCCCAGGGCGAGTGAGCTGATCCTCCTAGAAAGGAGTGATTGATGCCAGTGAGGGACAAGGGTAGGGCATTTCTGACCCCTTTTCTGCCAAGCTGTCAGAGCCAGGTTCCTCTCAGAGCTTGCTGCAGGGGGTGGGATCACCACTTTGTTCCCAGTGCCTCTGGGTTTATGCTTTCTCTCAGTGGTGCCTTTGGCTGACCCGCAGTCGTGTGCTATCCAGTATGGTAGCTGCCAGCCACGTGCTGCCAGTCGGGGTGGAGGTGTGCTGTGCGTGACTACACGCACCGGGTTTTTACAGATGTGTTCTGAAAGAAGGTGCGTAAAATACCTCGCTATCATTTCTAAAATACTGATGTCATGTTGAAATGATTCTATTTATTGGGTTCATTGGGTATATTGGGTAAAATGATATATTGGGTAAATAAAATACATTATTGATATTAATTTCACTTGCTTCTTACTTTTTAAAAATGTAGCGATTAGGAAATTTAAAATGACCCACACGGCTCGTATTTGTGGCTCGCATTACATTTCTGTAGGGTGACCTCAGGTCTCTGCTCTGATCCTTCAGGAGACAGAAGAAGGAAAAGCAGATGAAGATGCTGAGCACCTGGTTCGGGGGGAGGCTGGCAGGCCCGCCCTGTGTTACAGTTGCTTTTCTCACATAATGTATTATCAAAGCCTCTTTTCTTCTGTGAGAATGCTGGTGGGGGCAGAGGGGCATTACATTGTATGTATTTTACTGCTTGATTCATTTTCTTTTCATTTTAACTTTAATTCTGTCTAATTACTGTATTGTGATCTCAGCAATCTTCAATGAACCTCAAGTAACTTTTGAAGAATCTTGCTACAAATGTGGGATAGTGCTGAGATGCAGATTGCATAGGTCATTGCATGATGTCTACACTCCGCTGAAGCAACCCCTTTCCTGTTATTTTCAAATCTGAGGTCAGCATTTTGGTGCTTTCCTGCTTTATTGTTCCCCAGGCAAGGTGCCACCACCAGGGCAAGCTGAGGCAAAACAAATGAATTCACACCCAGTGGAAATGCTTTCTACTAAGCAAGACTGAAATTCCAGATTTCTTATTTCTATGACTGATCATAGCTTAAAAAGTCTGTGGAGTCACACCTCCATCAAGGAGATTATAATAAAACGTATTTACAAGTTTTTTATTTTAAATAAGGTATTTTAAAATGTCTCCATTAACACTTTAGAGACAAGATTTCTAGAAATAAAATTTTAAAACTCAGAAATTATATTTCATCATTTGATGATAGCAAGAGGATTGCTCCAAGAATGTTGTTTTTAATAAACTCAGTGTAACGGCAACACAAAAATTCTGCATGCATGTACACTTGGTATACACACATTGTGTTTTTAATGTACTTACCTTGAAAGTTCTATAATTAATAAAAAATAATTCAGCAAAAATGTGAGGTGAGTCTTCTTTGCTAATAAATTGGAGATATCTCATACATAATTGTGGGTAAAATTTCAAAAACTTTTTGCCATAAAAGGAGTTCTCCTGTTGTTCATTATTAGTATGGCCATTTATTTTTCTATTTTTGGTTAAATTTAACTAAGGGAAAAAGAAAATGTAGAGTATCAAAATGAGCAAGGTTTTGTGAGTGAAGTAATTGAAATAGTTAACTCCTTGGAAAATTTCACTCTTGTTACTTAAGGCATGTGTTCAATTAATGAGAAAATGATAGAAGCATATGAGGCTGCCTATTTTTTAAGAGTTTCCGAGGAAATAACTGCAAGTGTAGCATGTATCTCAGGGAAGGGCCACCAGCGCCGCCCGCCCGTTAGGAACGGGAGTCCTCGGCCTTTGGGGAAGTGGGATGGCACATTGGCCGGACAGATGCTTTATTCCTCCGTGACTCACAATCGCTCTCAATAACCATAGACAGCAAACTGCAAGAATTTAGCCATTTCCTGTCACCACTGCTCTTCTACTTTTTGGTAACCGTCTTGGTATAAAAGAACCAAAAGTGATAAAGAAGCATAGAGAGGAGACGCTTGGGCATGTGACCTGCACACTGGCAGTATAGAAAGTCTACCTGCTGGCCAAGTTCCTGGTGAACTTGTTCTTATGCTGACTTCCTATATATACTGCATGGCCTCACTTGCTGAATGGTGCTATAAAATTAGAGAAGCTCTCATTGGCTTTCTCGTTTTTCTTTTATCCCCTAAGGACTGTCCTGGTTATACACTTTCAAATATTCACAGATAAGATACTCTGGCTAAATAATCTAAGACTGAGTAAATTAGGTCAATGCTCATACAGAGCCTGTGTGATACGTTCCTTGTGTTGAAATTATATGGTGTCAGCTACATTGATTGAAAAAGCACTACAGACTAAAAAAAAAGTCTTATTACAAGATGTCTGAAAAGCAGATAAGAAAGCAACGGAAGCCCTCTTGTAAATGAGGGCCCTTATCTAGATTTTAATATGGCAGTAAGCAAATTGTAAATGTTTCTGCAAGGTTGACAACTTGTATGGGCAAGTAGACATTTCTGAAGTTTCTGTGACCCCGCACCAGCCACCACCGTGTGCCTGCCCGCCCTTGGCTGGTGCAGGGCCCGTTGTCTGGACTGTTAGACTCATTCTAGGACGGTCGGAGACCAAGGTCACTGCGTGAGGCTCCTTCCTGCTTATCTGTTTATGTCTAACTTCATGCACTGCTTCTGTCTTTCTGAAAGCTGCCCTTAACACTGATGGAATTTCTTGTAACAGGACCAAACATCAAACAAGAGCCTGCAGAAGAAGGCTCGTGAGGCTTCCCTCCAGACTCTACACCTCTGGAGTCCGCGGCACAACTCGGCTGGGCCCTGGCCGGTGGTCTCTGCAGCCGCGGAGGGGTGAGCGCGTGCTCTGCCTGAGCCTTGCACTCGCCGTCCTCTCATCAGTCAGAGTTCACAGAATCCTTCTTCCTGTTACCATTACAATCTATTAATTATCACAAAACATAGTTAATAAGTCGCTAATTTGACATACTTAACAAAATAGCCGTTAGTAAATATATTTCAGAAATAGACACAGACTGATCTAACAACTAGAGGATGCCATCTCATTTAAAAGTGACTATATTCAGAGACATTCCTGCGTGGCAATGACTACGAAAGCCTTTATCTCTGGGTTTGAACTGCATCTCTAATGTAAGCACACTGGCGTGGGCATGCAATAAGCTGTGACGAAATAAAATGAATAGAAGCTCCCACAGCCTGAAACTGAGAATTCCCCTTGTATTCTAACGGGAAAGCGAGCTGTTGGCAGAAGACGGTCGCAGTAGTTCAGGTGTTGCGGTGAGCAACAGCTGTGTGCGGTCAGGGCTCAGGAAACATAGCCGCCGAAACAAAAATAGAAAAGCGAAACAGATCAGCACTTGAGGTCTGCAAAAAAAGAGGTTTTTAAATTCAAAAATACTAAATTTCACATGAAAATGAGAGCTGAAAACTGCCCAGCTCTGCTTAAGGGTCCGCCGTGGGTGGGGCAGACTGTCGCCCTCCGCCGCCCCCCCCCATACTGCTGTCCTCTTCCGTCTTCCTGCAAACCCGGTGCTTGTGCGGTCACCAGCCTGCGGCGCCCGTCTGCTGAGGGCAGGTGTGCTGGGACCACTCGCATCTGCGGGAAGGTGGACGTCAGCAAGGACAGGACAAGGTCCTTAACCTCTCACTCCTCCTTGCGTGTGTTCCAGAAACTTCCATCCCACCACAATGACTGGACCTCAAAGTTCTGAGGGTTGGCTCCCAATACGCCTGACGGTTACACCACAGGTGCACCCCTAGCTGAAGGGCTGGCTGTCCCTTTGGCACTTGGTTTGGGCTGCCCTTGCTGAGCTTCCAGCTGTTTTCCATCTGGGCTCCATGTGCACCGGCACCAAGGTTCTGGGTCTGGAAGCAGAAGCGATGCTCTGAGCTTCCCTCCATGCCAGTCAGCTCTGCCAGAAAAGCCCTTTTTTGCTCCAAAAGAGAAATAAATCCACCCTCTCTCCAGCTGCACCAAGAACGTGCCTTTGTGCGAGCAGGGATGAAGGCCTGAAAACAGAACACCTGGAGAGCTTGAGTGGAAAGTAGCCTCTCTGGGCAGGGGAACCAGACGAGGGGGGCACTTGCAGTGTCCTTGGGCTGGGCCTTGAGCTCGGAGAAGGTGAGTCGGCATGTGAAGAGCACGTGATGATGCTGGGGAAGGGATCCGGACAGGCAGAGGGGCCCTAATGAATGTGACCGATTCTTTGGGCACGAGGACCTGGCGAGTGACTTTGAGCCAGAGGAGACGTGCTAGGCTTGCTACATCTGGGTGTGCAGTGTGCGCAGAACATCTTATTGCTAATGCTGTTGTAAATGGCTTGCTTGCTCCTCAGTCAATGGGGTTGTCCTTGACAAGAATTTGAGAGCAGCCGACCCCAGAGAGAGAGACAGACAGGGAGCGAGAGAGACAGGAAGAAGTGATGGTGATAGCAGGCAGTGAGTGGCCGATCCCGGGACTCCTGCAGCACACAGGCTGCCCCTTTCCCGGTGTGTGAAGGCCCACACCCTGGCCACATCTGTGATCACTCCCCTCTGGCCGGTCGGCCACAGTGGCCCCCCTGCCTGGCCTCCAGCCTTAGCACAGCTCTTTCCTCTCCCTCAGGTGGGAAGCAGGCCTTTGCTCAAAGGCCATGTGGTTGGCACAGCCTTCCCTGGACACCCTCTCCCCACCCTGATTCCCTGTCACCCCCAAGGTGCTTCCAACCACGGGACACACCTAATGTGTTCCTGGCTTGTTGGGGTGACTGCCTCCCCATCTGGACCATAAGCTTCACCTGGGAGTGAGTCTGCTCACATGGTTGGTGCAATGTCCTCCGAGCCTACAACATCGCCAGGTATGCAGGAGGAGCTCAGTATGTGTTTGTTAAACGAAAGAGGAAACAGCAGGTGCAGGTGCCAGAGAGTGAGAAGGTGGCGAAGGTGTGCTGGGGAAGGAGACGTGCGTGCTGCCCCGGGGCAGATGCAGGGGTGGCCTAGGTGCGAGCGCTGGGGCTGTGTCACATAGCTGCCGGCAGGTGTCAAGGTCTCAAGGTGACACAAGGAGGCTAGTCGGACGTGTTCCTCGAGCCGTTCGGGGAGGGAGGTGGGAGGTAGTCAAGTGCTGAGGGAGGGGCATGCAGTGTGCTGGCTGGCAGGCACTCCGGCCAGGTGCCCACGGAAGGTGTGTGAGGAGGTTTCGGCCATGGGCGGGAAGGCTGCCGACAGGCCAAGGCTCAACGGCGCACTGCAGGGGCCTCTCAGCTTCATGGAGAAGGACCGTGGTCCAGGTTTCTTTGATAAGAAAGCATTGGATTACCATACTTTGTAAAATATATGCTTCTCCCACAATGATGGGCCTTTTGTTAAAAGCTGGTAATAAGGTACACATGCCACATACTTATCTATGTACAGATGTCGCTGTTGTTGACTTTTCAAAGAATTAAAGAAATGAAAACTTAGTGAAATGACAGAACTTCAAAGAGATCCCTCAATGCCATACTTATTCTGGTCTGGAAAAATGTTTCCAGGCTTTGGTAAAGTCACATTTGAAATAGCCATGACTTGACTGTTAATACGCACTTGAGGAAAATTATGTTCCATCTTTAATGTGTGCAAACAGAAATGGCGTCTCTATTCAAGATGATATTTTCTTCCCTGCAGATTTAATTGGTGGGAGGACAGAATGCAAAGCAGGGCAGGCTGGTGGGAAAAACGCCGGCCACGTGCCCAGTGCCCACACACATGCCGGCCACGATGTGGGCATCGAGGGTGAACAAGGAGACCCCCTGAGCACAGGCAGTGCCCAAGCAGGCAGGGTCTCTGTGTGCACCCTTCACAACAGCCCAATCTGAGGGAAAGAACCTGATCGGAGGGAAAGAAACTGAAGGCGGGATGACGGTGGTTGTGACCATCCGTGGGAACTGGGTCCCTGGGCTCTGGCCACAACAGGGCAGGTATTGGGTGGCCAAGGCCTGACGTGGGCAGAGGGAGAGGAACAGCATGGGTGCTGGGGAGGCCAGGCCTGCTGTGGACAAACGGTGTTGCCACAAAGGACATGCCAAGCTCCTAGTGCCCAACCTCAGAACGTGACCTTATTTGGAAATCGGGTCGTTTCAGGTAGAATTAGTTGAGATGAGGTCAGCCTGGAGCAGGGTGGCCCTGTTTAACATGGGTCCTTGTAAGCAGAGACCGAGGGGAGGAAGGCCATACAGAGTCCAGGCAGAGACTGGAGCCACGCGCCTGTAGGCCAGGGATGCCAAAGATGGCCAGTGAAAACCAGAACCTGGCCAGAGGCCAGGAAGAAGTCGCCTCCCGGATTTCAGAGGGCTCGGCCCTGCCCACCCTGCGTCCAGGCTCGCGGCCTGCAGAGCCGT